CACACCCTAAGGGGGAGGGAGAAGTTTCCACAAATGCCCAAACATTTAGACCTAGAGTAAAATGCAGAAAAGTAATATCCAGCCAGTTACATTCAGAGCCCAAACCTTTAAAATGCAGGAAAAAAAACAAACAAGAACAACGAAAACCACAGTGAAATCTACTCGAACGTATAGAGATTGTTTCCAAGAAACTCCCACAGAAGCACAAACAAAGTAAACATAGTCGCACGAACTAAGTGGACAAAAAAGTGCACTCAAACCCAACATAAGGAAAGAATGATAAACTTACTTCTTCAATGCTGGTGCTATGATCAGTGGACAACTGCAGCGCGGTCAACCTCATCGTATCTTGATCAGCAATGACACTAGAGTTCGAACTACAAGTGGCCTCTTCATGAGTAGGCTCATACTTTGCCACTATAGCGCGACTATCTCCCACATTCATCACATAAACATCTTCGTCCCTCATCAAAACCACCAACAAACAAGAACCCATCAGCGCAAGCTCCGGATACTGATCAAGAAGCTTATCAGTCATGTCCAAATATGCATTCTCCGTCATCTCCAGAGCCCCAGACATTGCTCTCAACACTAACTCATGGTCTACGGGGCCCACTTTCCTCCTCGCGTTTCCTACGCTCCTCCCCTCTCCTACCCTACAACTCTCCTCCCCCTCCTCAACTTTCTCCTTCCCTTTCAACCCACCGAACCTCCATGGAAACAGCTTCTTACCATCCATATGCTTCATAGACAATCCGTGTTTCAGTTTCGATAGCAGCAGTGATCTTCTCACTGAAGAACCTGCATTGTTCACTCTAATAGCATCCTCTACTGAAAATGCAAATCTATCTGAACCTGAGAGATCCAGCCCATCTTCAGGATGATCCTCTGCTAAATACTCCCATAGTCGTCTTCTCCTTCTGACCACAACCTCCTCCTCCGAATGAAAAGTTACCTTCTTTGTGGACCCTTTGTCAATCTGTAGAATGTTTTCACAAATTGCAGGGGCTTCAGGCGCAATCTCTTCGTTGTCCCAAAACAAACCCTCTAATTTCTTGTGCATAGCTTTGTACAGATTGGTCATCAGGAACTCGGGGGCATCAGGACCGTTAAATCCATCATAGATTCCGACGAACAGCCACCCGTGCTCTTCTGATACAACCACGTGTACCCTGTCTTCGCCCGCTTTCCCTAAAGCCCATTGAACATTGCTATCGCGGCTCATTTCAGGCAGACGGCCGGAGCTTGGAGGAGGCGGAGCGGTTTTCCGGCCGGCAAAGTGTCTCACCGGCAAGACCCACGGTCTCTTCTTCTCCGGGAAGCTCAGGTACAAGGCCTTGCGAATTCCCGAAATGCCCCTCCTCCTTTTCTTCTTTAGAGAAACACCTCCCAGTGGCGCAGAGAATGGGACGCCGTTAGAGGTGGAATCTAGTCCAGGTTGGAAATCCAGCGGTCCAGATAGGGCTCCTCGCTCGATCGGACCGGACATGAAGAAGGCCCTCTCCATCGGACCGGACGGCGGTTCCCGTCCGCTGCCGCCGCGAGGAATGGGCTGAAGAGGCAAGGCCGTAAACGACGACGTACTCTCGAATCCATTGACGAAACTACCCCTCGATCCAGTACCACCACTAAAGCCCAGGGTACTCCCATCAGTACCACCCCCATCCTCGTAGAAATTCTCGACTTGCAGGACGGTTCTCGGAGTGGACGTATTGGCGCTCACCGACGCGCCGGAAATCGCCCGGAACCCGGTCTCCGGGACACCACCCGGTCTGGGCTTCTCCTGCTGAACCGGCTCGTCGAACCGGAGCGACTGAGAAGGCGAAACAAACCGATCGGAGTGGGGAGGAGAGGCCGCGAAGCGAGCCGAAGACCTGACGTAGCAGAACGAATGGCCCAGAGTCTCGTCCAGCGGCTCGCCGCCGGAGAATTCCGCCGCGTCCTCCGCCGCGTCCCGGTTCACTTCCGGGTTGACACAGGGAAGCAGATGCGAAATCCCTCCTCCCATCACATTCGATTCATCTCAATCCCCCCCCCTCCCACCCCCCAAAATCAAATCTTTCTCTCCACTTCTGCTATATATCTTCACCTAGAGAGAGAGAGAGAAAAAACAGCCCTTTTACAGAGAGAGAAAGAACACTCCGCCGGAGCATATGTATATACTACGATATACTCTGTATGTATATATACATCTATATATATATATATATTTATTTGATTTAATTTAATTTATTGAAGAAATAAAAAGGAAAAAAATTACCTGCAAAAAAACGAAAAAAAAGACTGGAAAGAAAGAAGAGAGAAGACAAGAGAGTGTTGTTTTCTTCGGGGAGAGAGAAAGTGAGTTTGAAAATGGGAGAGAGGGAGAGGGATGACGTGGCGGGTTAAAAAACGCCACGTAGGAATACACGTGACTTTTGGAGGACGGGAAACGGGGTTAGTGTGGGGCGGGGGGTAAGTAGGGTCAACGAGGGATGGGGCTGCCGGTCTGGTCCGTAGGTTTTTTTTTTTTTTTGAAGGGGGCCTGGATCTGTAAATAGTGTATGTTTTGTTTTAAAGCCCAAGTCAAATAATGTGGCCAATTAACTTTTTAAAAAATGTGGCCAATTAGTTAGCCAACTTGTTTGGCTAAAAGAGATTAAGAAATTTTGAACAGGGGGTGGGATGGGGGGGACCTGTCCAAAGATGTAAAAGAGGGAAGTTAAAACAAAGAGCAATGCTAGGGGTACACCAATATGGGGTACCCCAAGTGTACACCAAGCTAACACAGACACACACAGACACAAAATGTCTGTGCAATGCACACTTTGTGTCTGTGTGTCTGTGTTGGCTTTGGTGTACACTTGGGGTACTCCATGTTGATGTACCCCTAGCTTAATTCTAAAACAAATTGTTGATGTTTTAAAATTTAAATCTATTTTTCAAGATTTTAGAAGTCATGTCTAATTTCGAAAACTTGCTAAACGAATTTTTGATGTATGCAATTAGGCTAATACCCTTCTTAAATGTGCTACGTCGCAATATGTTTCATTGGATCATGTGCTGGCAATCTCCTATTTGATTTCCTTCGAATGATTTTTTTTACCGCAAATGATGGGCAGTGGCAGATCCAGAATTTTAAATAGTTGGGGGCCATTGCCCCCTACTCCTAAGACATAGGTCCGCCTCTGAAGATGGGTAAGAGATGTGCTGAGAGATAAAGACGACTTCCTGAATTGGATAAAGACGACCTCTTAATACTTTCATATACAATGAATTCAATATTTCCATGTATAACGCACACAAAATCAATAACGAAAATATCCATAAACAATGAAATTGATATTTTCATATGTAACGCACATAGCATATATAATAAAAATGTCCATATATAACGAACATGATATTTTCATATGTAACATAACATCTTCATATGTTGATGCATAGCCATGGGCGGGAAAATCCGGTCAATGGGTCCCCTTCTTTTAAATAAAGTATTTGTATTGATATTGATATCTCTCATATCATATACTCCGTATATGAGAGGAACAAAGGTGTACCCCATTTGTCCCCTTCTCCTCCTTGTCCATATAATTGGGCAAGAAAATCAAAAATAAATAGGGAGAAAGACCAAAGTAGGACTAAAATATTGAAGATATACCAAAATAGGACTTCCATGTTTTTATTCCCGAAATAGGACTTACATTACCAAACATGGTCATATACATTACCAAGAAAGTATAGTAATTTGCACATGTACACTGCCACATTACCACAATGCAAAGTCCTATTCCAGGAAAAAAACATGAAAGTCTTATTTTGGTACTTTTCTCTATGTTTTAGTTCTATTTAGGATGATTTCTAAAATAAATAAATAAAAATTAAATAAAAATGAGTGGTAGAGAAGGGGGTGGTGTACATTTGGGGGTACACTTTTGGTGTACCCCTAGCATTGCTCATATGATAGATATCATGCGGATACCCCCCCCCCAGTTTAGGGTATCCATCACCAATATTTGAGTGCCAACACCTAAATGATTTCGAGTCGATGAGTATGAATTTTCAAGTGAAAAATCAAATTAAATGGGTCACAAGTTTTTTGGTATGCATTCCACACGGACAATTGGGCTAAAGACTTGCAGGCCACAAGGAATGAACGTCTAGACGGATAATATGACAACGAGGTGGACCAAAATATGCCCTGGTACCATGATGAAATTTAAAATGAGGTAAGGTTCACTGGACTAGGTCATAAACTTTTGGGCTGAATCATATTAAAAATTTGAATCCAACCGAAAATTCAATTCAACTCAAGAGTTTAAAAACCCATTTATTTTATCGTCAAGTTCTGATGTATGATAGTATCTAATAATGTATTTGCTGAATTTACCAAAAATTACTTTCAATTGAAATTAATTGTCAAAAATTGGTGTAAAAATTTAGAATAGAAATAATAAAACTAAATATTTAAAAATTGTATTACTCTGTAAAAAAACTCTATTATGATACATGGAGGATTTTATTTTGAGTAAATTCAATAAAAGGTCCCCAATTATAGGTCGTTTTGCATATTTAGTCCCTACATATCAAATTTTACTAATTTAGTCCCCAATTATTATATTCTTTTCCACGAATGGTCCTTTGTTAACACTTCCGTCAAGAACGTGGATAAAATTGTAAATTCACACTCTTTTCTCTCCTCAATTAAGAGTCCTCCCTTCCCTAACACTCCTTTCTCAAACCCGTCGCTGAGTTTGAAGCTTTGAACCCAAAACTAAAATCATCGCTCTTCTCTCAATTGTTTGTCTAATTGGTGGAACCCAAATTTGAAACCAGTAACCTCTTGGGAAAGAGTACAAGAGCAAGGAGGAAGCTTAATTATGGAGAGAAAAGAGTGAATTTACAATTTTATCTAAGTTCTTAACGGAAATATTAACAAAGGACCATTCATGGAAATGAATATAATAATTGGGAACTAAATTAGTAATATTTGATATGTAGGGATTAAATATGTAAAACGACCTATAACTGAGGACTTTTTATGTAATTTACTCTTTTATTTTGCTGGACTAGAAGGACAAATACGAGTACAATTCTACTTTAATGTAGAATCTTGTTGGGAGGGAATATTTATATCCTGTATTTACCCATGGGTGAAAGCTGCGGAATTTTCTGCTAACCAGGTGATCTCTCGGAGGAGATGACGACGACGTCGTTTATCCTGGGTAGGCCAGCCATCGGCAACGACCCAAAGGTTCAACTTTCGAGCTTCACCAGCTTCAGGAATGGCTCTGATCCCCTCACGCGCAGCGAGCGTGTGCGCGTGTTTCGCTCTGTATCTTCTTCCAGTCGCAATGCTTCGATCACTAGATCCGTATCTACTGTGAGCATTTCTTCATCGTCCACGCGCCTTTAATGTTTCTCCACAGTTTATTCCAGTCTGGATTTGATTGCTCTAAGTGAAAATGTCGTGTTTCATGCTTTAATCGAATTTCATGAGTTATAATCTGGTAGTGCTTCCCTATGCAATGTTAGAGAGTTGGATTCGATTCTGCTTTACTTGTATAGATCAATGGGGAATTTGGTAGTGTTTATTGCAATTCATTTAGGAATTTGGCATGTTAATGAATTCAAAAGGCCACTAAAAGCAGTAGCTTTTGGTTGGTGTTGAAAAGAATTGAATGATCAAAAGGAGGATTGGAAAAAGCTTCATTTCCATCAAGAATAGATGCTATAAATAGAAATAGTTATTTGCAAGTACTCATTGCTAAGTACTTAAACAATTACCAAAACAATTGTTCTCTTCTGATTTCACCAAACTTTCAATTGTATTGGATTTTGCTTCACTGACATAAGATGGAGCTTTCTGATTCTAAATTTTCATTTTGCAGCCTGCAAAGTCTGGCACAACCACTGAGCCTAAACGCAGCAAGGTTGAAATATTCAAAGAACAAAGTAACTTCATACGGTATCCTCTCAACGAGGAAATTCTTACAGCAGCACCAAATATTAATGAGGCTGCTACACAATTAATAAAGTTTCATGGGAGTTATCAACAATATGATAGAGATGAGCGTGGTAAAAGGTCATATTCATTTATGCTCCGGACGAAAAACCCTGGCGGGAAGGTTCCAAACAAACTCTATTTGGCTATGGATGATCTTGCGGATCAATTTGGCATTGGAACCCTCCGATTGACAACAAGACAAACTTTTCAGCTCCATGGTGTCTTGAAGAAAGACCTTAAGACTGTGATGGGGATGATTATTAGAAACATGGGGTCCACTCTTGGTGCATGTGGTGATCTCAACAGAAATGTACTTGCTTCTGCAGCCCCAATTACAGATAAAAGCTATCTATTTGCCCAACAAACTGCTGATGACATCGCATCACTTTTAACTCCTCAATCTGGGTTTTATTATGATGTTTGGGTGGATGGGGAGAGATTTATGTCAGCAGAATCTCCTGAAGTAGTCAAAGCCCGTGAGGATAATTCTCATGGAACAAACTTCCCTGACTCTGCAGAGCCCATTTATGGGACTCAGTTCTTGCCAAGGAAGTTTAAAGTTGCAGTTACTGTACCAACAGACAACTCAGTGGACCTTTTCACAAATGACGTGGGAGTAGTGGTCGTTCCAGATGCTAACGGAGAGCCTCAGGGTTTTAACATATATGTAAGAATGTCATACTATCTACCAAGAAATGAGTCCTATTTAAACAATGAAGAGCTGAATTTCATTGAAATTAATGTAATACAGTAAAAATGTTCCTAACAAGTGAAGTGTGCTGTGTGCTTACTGTAGTTGAACAAACAGAAAAATTAATGTATGAATAGGATGGCTGATTTACAAGAGTCATACCTTGATGCAACACACTCTTCTTAAGGGACAGATGTAGTATTTAATACTGGGTTTTGGGGAACATTAATGCAAGCTGTGTATGACTTCTTTGCAGGTTGGTGGCGGAATGGGACGGACTCATAGGCTTGAGGCCACATTTCCTCGTCTTGCAGAGCCATTGGGCTATGTTCCAAAAGAGGACATACTATATGCTGTGAAAGCTATTGTTGTTACTCAGAGAGAAAATGGTAGAAGAGATGACCGTAAGTACAGCAGAATGAAATATTTACTCAGCTCATGGGGGATTGATAAATTTAGAACGGTTGTTGAACAATATTATGGAAAGAACTTTGAAGCTTGCCGCGACTTGCCTGAGTGGGAATTCAAAAGTTACTTGGGGTGGCATGAACAGGTTAACTTCTTGACTATGCCAATCTGTGAAATTTTGTTGTGTTGGGTTCTTGTTCTGCTTATCCCTTTTGCAGTTATGGAATTTCTTGTTAATGATAAATTGGCAATATGCATTGGCAGGGAGATGGTAATTTGTTTTGTGGTGTTCATGTCGACAATGGTCGTGTTAAAGGAGAAATCAAGAAGACGCTACGTGACGTTATTGAGAAGTATAACTTGGATGCTCGCATTACACCGAACCAGAACATTATCCTTTGTGATATACAACATGCTTGGAAGGATTCTATCTCTACGGCTCTTTCACAGGCTGGTCTGCTGGTAAGGCTTTGTTCCTAGTATGCATCTTTAGAAACAATCATTGTTGAATTGGTAAAAGCAATACATTGGTTATCATTTTGTATATGGCCAAAAAACTTCCACTACGGAGTATATTATACAGTGGGAAAGTCCATTATTTTCCATACTTCCGGAAGCAAGTTTAGTGCCAGCAATGGTATGCCCAGCTATAAATTTTAAAATGTCATCCTTCATGTATGAATAAATATATATTTATATGGTTAGGAACCTAGGCATGTGGATCCTCTCAATTTAACAGCAATGGCATGCCCAGCTTTCCCCCTTTGCCCCCTTGCAATAACTGAAGCTGAACGAGGAATTCCTGCCATTCTTAAGCGGGTCCGTGCTATGTTTTTGAAGGTATGTACAGTAGAGGCAAATTTACTATCTCACATGGTCATGTTACAGCTTTTAAATATTTGCAATGTACAGTTCTTTTTTTAAAATTATTTATTGGTTAAACTGAAGTTCTCATATTTAAATCGTTTATAGCCCTTGTTAGCAAGTTATATATTAGAAAGTTAGCTTTACTTGATGGAAGACTCTTTTTGTTGACCTAACAAAACATTTGGAACTGGACTCTTTTTTCGGACTGGAGAGAGATTATTCATAAATAGTATAGCAGGTTTATGAGGATTGAATGTTGTGTCGCTTCAGGTTGGCCTTGAGCATAATGAATCTATTGTGGTAAGGGTAACTGGCTGCCCTAACGGCTGTGCCAGACCATATATGGCTGAACTCGGATTGGTCGGTGATGGTCCCAACAGTTATCAGGTACATCAATGTCTAACTTTGTAGGGCCATATACCCTTTTATTCAACCTTTCTCAATTAATATTCTTGAGTATTCTACGTTGGTTGTCAATCATGTTTAAGTCTATTATACGATTGAGGTAAACATAGTCCTATGATGATTTGTGAGGTACCTGATCACTTCATGGTTACGGGCAGCTTTTTTAGTGGCGTGTTTATGCCTTTTGTCCACCCCTTCATTTGTGATACCCCGTCTTGCTGTTGGAGTATGTGTTGAATGTTGAGTCATCCCCAATGATTGTGTATTGGGTTTGAGTCTAGTTTATAAGGATGAGTTAGGTTATCTTCTATCCATTCCTCCCAAGCAGATTTGGAAAGTCACAAATGTTCTTGATGTGTAGATATGGCTTGGTGGAACAGCCAATCAGACTTCATTAGCGAAACCTTTCAAGGATAAAGTTAAGGTTCAAGATCTTGAGAAAGTTTTGGAACCGTTGTTTTACCACTGGAAACAGAACAGGCAATCAAGTGAAGCATTTGGTGACTTCACAACCCGCTTGGTAAGAAAAGGAATACTCTTGTTTCATATTCTTTCAAATATAATTTCCTTTACAGTAATTATTAAAAACTGCACTTTAAATACACCTTTAGGTAATTCATCATGTTGAGTCATTTCAGATACATTATAGAGAAGTCCCTATGTTCTACTCTATTGACTTGTTTTGGATTCAAGAACCTGATATCTCCATGCACATATATGTCCTTGACTTGAACACATCACTCATACTCTGTATATTTGTGTGTAACACACATGCGCACAATGTATGCAAATGTAATATGTTTAATCTCATATCAACCAAATATAAAATACAAATTGACATATGAGACATCAGACTACTACTCCTAGGTTGACCTTTTAGGATGAAACTTCATATGATAATATGATATCAGAGCCTTCTAAGCTCAAACGAGCAATTTGAACTAGTAAAGCCTCAACAATGAACAAACTGACTTCAAAACCTTATAGTAGTTATCCTATAATGTATTGAACCCCCAAGTCTTAATAATAGATGCATGCATTTTGGTGGCCAATGCAATAATGCGAAAAAATAATGATTTTCCAGGGATTTGAAAAACTAAATGAGTTGGTGAATTGACCGAAAGGCGTTGCTACCTGAGTAGTTATGGGAAGCGGCAAGAACAGCTGAGTGATTGCTTGAGTCAAACAATAGACTTTGGACTGCGTTTGCCAGCCGTGAATTGAATAATCCTGGCTTTTCTTCAACTACAACTACCCATGTGAGTAATGCAAAGCCTGAACTTAGATATTTGTGTTTTTGTTCGAGGCGGTGTTCTCTTGGAAACAAACTATCTACTTTCGCATAGAGATAAAGTCTGCGTACACACACTTCTCCAGACCCTACATTTGTGGGATTTTACAGTGTTTTTTTGTTGATGTTGAATGTGCATTTTCCTTCTTTTTTTTGCAACCTAATAGGAGGATTTTTCTTCTTTTGTTTTCCTCGTACTCAAATAATAATTGTGCTTGTGCCTTCGTTGGGATTGGAGGCGTGACTTGTTACTGAATAATGACTACTTTTATTTGTTGAAACTTGGAAGCCAGTTTGTAATTTTTCTATTAAATAATTCACATTTGCTCACGAATAATTCACCTTTTCCTCCCTGCGAATCAATCAATTATATTTTTAACGTAGTAACCCAAACACACACAGAGCCGATGGCAGGATTGGGCATATCTCAAAACATCTATTCTGAGAAACACATATTTTTGTGCATTAATCATCATTTGAAGTCTCATGGTTTCTTTTCATTGATGCACATTTAATATTGCTCCTTTTTTCATTATAAGGGATGCCTTTTTTAAGAGTGCAAAAAATAAAACTTAATAACTACATGGAAGCATTCAAAATCAATTACTACTAGTAACTTATTTGTCTGTGCTTTTGAGTCAAGCAAAAATCTTCTAGAAACATTTTCTTTACTTCATAGACCCTATTGTTGTAGAATTTTATTGAGTTATTGTAACAACTTGTATAACATAGTTGATGCATTTGTTCATAAAAGCATTATAAAAATGGTGTATCATTATCTTTTCTTCTTTTTTTAAATGATGATGATTGACAAATAATACAAGGAATGTGTGTCTCTTTGTCAAACAAAAAACAACTAATATGGGTTGGAGGTGAGGTGGTGTGACTCATTAGTTTATGGGGGAAAAATATAATGGGTGCTTAGATTTTTCTTAGATTTTCACCTTTAAAAAAGGGTCATTGTTGACTATAAAGGTTTTGATTGTATTATTGTCTTAATTATTTATGTTATCTACTTGTGTTCATTTCATGGTATGTTATGTGATATATCTATTAGCTCTTTTGATGTGACTCATGGGTGTCATAATATGACACACATACCATTTGAGGGCATTATAGTCTTTCGTTTGATCCTTTTAAAAACCTCTCCCATCCTGTACCATGTCATCTAAGGCTTATCGTCATGTTACTATAGTTATTTTAGCACAATGGTGAAACTCGAGGGCTAGGGATGGGTTAGGGAGTAGAAACTACTTCGGTGTTGCATCATCGACCTTTCGAAATATCTTGTTTTTAATAAACTAAGACTCGAGTATTGAAAAGTTAAATTTCAGACTTGAAACCTTAGTTAAAATTAAATCTAAGTTTTAAACATCTAAGTATTCGTTTGGTATACGGGATTTACAGAATTTAAATTAAATTGGGAATTGAAATTTTACGGAATTAATTTAGATGGAATTGAATTCTTCATTTCCAATTCATTTTTGATACTACCAATTCTAAATTTACATACTTTTATGCTACCAAATAGTAGAATGAAGTTGTTGTCCCTAATTCTAATTCTATAGTTTGAATTTTGTGTACGAAACGGAACAATTTCAATTTTTAATATTGAAAAACTAGATTTTAGATCCTAAATTTAAGTTAAAATTAAATCCAGGCCAGGGTGGATTTCATAACCATTGTTGAATGACATGGTTGGAAATGTGGGCCCACAAATGGATGGTCAACCGAACAGATTGCAAGTCTTCCAATGAGTGGTCAATTTGATTTATGTTGCTTTTTACTGTTTTTTTATTACTGCTTTCCATTTTTGTTTAAAGAGAAAAAGACCACTTTGGCCTTTCAAATTTGAAACCATCCCATGTTGTCGGACTCGCTTTAACAGTCTTCAAATTATTTCAATAAAGTCTATCCTCGCAATTCAAATACTATAAAGAGTGTATAATTCTTCTTTGACAATATAAAGAGTATATAATTAGCTGTATCAAACAAACAAACAAAAAACAAAAGTCTAAGGACTCACTTTTGCATTTACCATCACATTCAAATACTATTTCTGTCTGGGGCATAGCTCAACTGGTCAATATGGGCACAAAGACATGTTTTACTTCTAAAACATGTTTGATATACCAAAATACAGAGAAATATCTTCAATATTTTTATATTAAAATAAGATTTATAAGCATAAAGATATCATTGATGTAACATTTTTTAAAAGTTCAGGAGGCATTGCTGCAATTTTTAAAATTCAAGGTCAATCAATGCAATTTTCAAAAAATTCAAAAATAAATAGTGCAAAAAAACTCTTTAAAGAAAATATAGGAAGTCTTATTTTATTATAAGTTTTATGTTTTAATCTTATTTAGATTAAGTTTTTTTGACATATCTTAGACTCTGTTTGAGAATTGTGTTAGAGATAAGCGTTAGCATCTTGAAAAGAATATCTACGGGCAGCTTTTAGCGTTAGCGTTTTCAAAGTAATTTGCACCGTTAAAATTTTATCCAAAAAGCTAACGCTTATGTCTAACGTTATTCCCAAATAGGCCCTTAGTGGCGAAAATTGGAGAGTCAAACTAAACCTTATCCATTTGGGAGTCATAGTTCATGATTTTTGAAGGAGGTTCCCAGGCTATAGCCCCTTTTTCTTTTGGCTTGAAAAATCAAAAGGGGAAATTCATGTGGAAAATGGTGTAGATTTGTATTGACTATTGATATGATAATAACAAGAAATAAAAAGTTGCACAAAAATAAAAAGAAGAAGACATAAAAGGAACGCTGAAATCTTCCATTCAATTAATGTATCTTTATTTTTATGGCAAGCCACCAAATTCATCTTATATTGTTTTGAGTGTAATTGACTCGAATATAAAATTTGTCTTTTGTTTTCACTATTTATTCACACTTCATTCTTGTTTTTTTAAATCGATTCATACTTCGGGTAGAATTTTATCTCTATATTTAGAATTTTATCTATTGTTCTATGATAAATTTAAACCCGTTAATTTGAAGAAAAAATTGTTAATCGCCCAAAAACATTTATCACATTTTGAATCAAATGCAAAATTATAACTCTTTTAAAATCATTGTATTTACAAATTGGTAGAAAAATAAAAGGTACAAATTAAACTATTTAAATTTACACAAAAATTTCTACAACACAAAATGCAACAAGAACATTATATTTTACCAAATGGTCACAAAAATGAGTAAAAAACAAAAGTTATCAAAAGAATGAAATAGTAACCGTGACATTTTTTTTTGAACGGAGAGAGTAAAATTAAAATAATAAAGAAGTCATGCTTGAAAGAAAATAAACTACTCCATTTATTATATTTAATGCGTTTTATCGTGTAAAAAAAGTGTTGTGAACAATTTTAGTGTGTTAAAATTAGCTAAACCTATAAATAAATCTAAAAACATAACTATATTTGATAATTTTGATTATTTTATCTTATTTATGTCAGAATTAAATCCTTCATTTTACAGAATACAACAAAATGTAGTGAGTGAAGGTAAAATACCAAAAACCCCTTGACACTAACTTGTTTTAGTGTTGGTTTATATCATTATGGGGTATTTATGATAAATCATACTCGGTAATAATTTGTTTTTCTTAAATATAAATAGTTTCCAATTAATTTGAGAGGCAAAAAAACAAAAAATAATCAATGAAATTCAAACATGGATTGGACGAGTAGTTTCGTAAAAATGATCAAACTCTACATCAAATGGTTGATGTGACTAAGAATTGCTTAGCTTTTTTAGCTTGCCCAAATTGAGTTAAAAAAACATAATATATATAAAAGAAAGAATCTTAAATTGGATTTATGCTTTGACCTCAACCTTAGAGGGTAGAGTGATCCTTAAAGCAAATTAATACACTTTTACTTTTAATTTAGTCAAATAAATAAATGAATTCCTACTTTTTTTTCTTTCACCCATCATGCATTTCATATATTGCCAACTAGACAATGAGAAATCTATTCTACACTCTATTTCCAAAAATATTTTTCTCATATTTGATTGAAACTAAGAGTTAAATATATTTTTAGTCTCTATAAAATAAGTGATTTTTTCAAAATGGTCCTTGAACATAATATGTAACTCTATTTGTTGAGATAAGACATTTATTTCGTATTCAACATTTTAATTTTACATTTCTAACTACATCATACACGATTTTCATGCCATAGGTTGTCTTTTTCATCAAATCACATACCTAATTTCTAAATTTCATTATACTATATTTTTTATTAAAAAAAATAGAATCTAGAGATGTAATATAAATAAAGATACAATTTAGGGCATAAAGATTGTATCAAAGGTAGTAGAAATGTAAGACTAGAATATTCCATACGAAATAAATATGTTATCCCAAAAAAATAAGAAGTGAAAATTATGTTTAAGGACCATTTTAAAAATAAAAAAATTTGTATGGATGACTTAACAAAAAAATATTTTACATGGACTAAAAACAAAAATCGCCTATTTTTTAGGGACCAAAAATAAAATTAACCCTAAAATTAATTTTGAATTATTATATCTAATTATTAGTTTAAACTTAAAAATATAAATTATATATTTAAAAACTAAATAAAAAAATCTTACAAAAAAATGAGTGACATAATTATATATTATTTCAAAAACTATAGATAAAAATTTACGAAAAGAAGATTTGTATTGACTCTATGAATAGCGGTTGAGACAAAAAAAGCCTAACACAAGTACTATGTACTTAGTTCAAACTTCAAAGAGTAAAATAAAGAATAATACTCCGTATAAACTTGTGCCGAATACTTTGTCAAGTATGAGATGGAAATATTCCGCTCGTACGAGAATTATGAGTTCAAAGTGGCAATTATACATATTTAACCAACCCAATTTAAGCTCAATCATTTAGACCATATTTTTGTGAGTTAAAATTTCAAAATTAGATATTGAGAGAAGCTAGATATAGTTGAAAAAAATAGGAGTTAAAAAAATGTTAGAAGAATTTTAAAAAAACCATTGTTCAAACAAATAGATTTCATCTATACGTGAAGAGCATATTGTAGTTTAAAAACATCTAGGTACCATCAATCAGAAGTTTGAACTATTGTTTAGTTAATGCGTTAACAATCATGATTCTAATGAAATTACATCATCTATAGGCCATGCAAACCAAATGGATGAGATTTAACCCGACAACTATGGTGATACGAAGAACTGATAATGGAATAATATAAACTCTCGACAAATATCTCTCCAGTTGTATTTGCTTGATTCGGCTTGATCTACAATGAGGGATCCATCCCTTATTTATAGTCTAATGCTATCATGCTTATGGTAAATCAAGCCTGTGTTGTATTTTTGAAAAGACTGGCCAATCATGCTTCAATTACGAGCGAGAAATCCATTAGCACTCTCCTCCAAATCCCCCACAATCGAGTGTGTTGTGTTCCACGCTTTCCTCCCTTATTTAATTCTTTGGGCTGGGCTTAGCCCTTGGTTCTATTCGGTTCTTGGGCCCACCCCTAGCCTGGATCAGGTCCCTCAGCTGTGTCAGGCTCAAAAGAACAAGCTTGGGCTTTTTCGACCCACTTTAGGAACCCGATAACCATCCCAAACAGTTCATGTGGATGAACATTTTATTACTAATATAAATCCTAAGTCCCAAGCTTTGCCAAATCGAATTTCCATCCTTAAGTGGTTTGAAAGACATGTACAAATACGAACAAATGTTGACTTTCATACACCGTGAACATATATTGCTACACTGTACAAAGGAGAAGACCATTCCCCCTAGCTGCAAGCATGTAACAAAAATGTGTAGGAGATAAACCCACAAATTTGAGAGCCCTCACTAATCTCTTGTGAAAGATCATTAATTTGTGACTTTTAAAGCTGACCCGCCCGAATATCTCTGTCAATGCGATCTGCGTTTAGGGTTCCGGGGAGTTCTCTGAAATCTTCATTGAAAATCGAGTACGCACTGACAAGATAAAGAACGAACAAGTAAGTTCATGTTAGACAATGATATGACAAAAGTTTTTGTGTTTCCTTTTTTACCGCATCGTCATTTACCTGAGCTCTCCATGCTGCCGCTGTCCAAGATTATAGAACACAATTCCAAACCCTGTCCCAAGTATCTGTAGATGCAATGGTTGAAAACAATTAACTAAATGCTCACTCTGTCCCGCCAAAAAAAGACTCATGCTGTAAACACAAGCTTGGTTAGATAAGCTAGAATTACTTCATGTAATTTGTCAAACATGTCGAAAAAAAGTTTGGATATGCACTTCAAACAAATTGGTATAATGTATGATAAAGAACATCATGTTTCTCTTATCTGAGAGCGTGTTTAATGATGCAGTATAAATCAAGTTTTAAAAATTGAAAATTTGACCAAGTTAAGCTATTTTTCATAAATATGAATATCCTTTGTTTCCAATGCATATTATGGAACCTTGGCTGATCATGTAGAATTACTTTCTGAAAGGGAAAGCGTGTAGCCAGGCTAAATCCATTTCAACCAAATAAGCAAGTCAATAGTGCCACTAATCTGCTTGTTATGCTGATAAAAAGAATAAGATGATTATTGCTACCAAGCCGGCCATAACCTGTTTAATGGTGAATATAATAGTGAAAGGTGAACAACTGAAAGATACCTTATTGAATAAACATACATGAATCTAAGAATAGACACCAAACATATATTGCAGCCTTGACTTAAACACAAGGGTATTTAAAAACTTGAACTGCACTTACATATAATGGTCCAATGCCAAACCAATGGGCAATAGGTGCCAGAATAAACCAGATAACAATAATAGCCCAGATCTTCAAGCTGATTGAGAAAACTGCCATCAAAAGAATATCTACAGGAAGGAAGGGGGTTCAGAAGAGAGTAGTTTTTGAAAAAACAATGTCAGTGAAAAAGGTTAGGCTGTTACCTGGAACCTTCAATTTCTCCCGTAATATAAAGAAAAGCTTCTTTTTAAACCTACTACTTGATTGGGGTAGATGGAACTTCTAAAATCCAACAAAAAGGATCTATGAGAATTCATTTATATCACAGATGCAAGTAAATCCTAAGCAAAGATTGGGTTAATGAATAACAATAATACCATATCATCATCATCGTCATCAAATTCATCCCGTACATGTTTGGGAGGAGACTTTGGTTTTACGGCAATGATCAAAGAATCTAGAAAACCATCAGATTACACGTTACAACTATGGAAAATTTGTCAATTTAAAAGGTAGCAAAATATCCAAGGAAATAGAAAAACAATTAGATGCTTGAAAGGAACATCAAACCATCAGAAACACCTACCGTATTCTACATATAGAAGCCCCCTCATCCCCCCTCACCCCCCTCCCCCCTCCCCCATATAATAAATGTTTGTAAATGTACTTATAACACATGAATTATAATCCTTATAAAGTAAAAATAACTTTGGACTATTACAGACATCCAGAAGTAAAAAATATAATTTAGATAATGAAGTTATGAATTATACTTCCTTGCAAAACAGACCTCCATCATTGAACTGAATAGTAAGATCCTCCCCATTTTGGTTGTCATGCAATACACTTCCACGCAAAACAAGCTTCAAATCTTCAATAGGCAATTGGCGGTGTTTTGCAACTATTCTTCTCAAATCATGCACCTGTTTTTTATTGTCACAAATAAATTGTCCTCTCATACAAGCATCATTTGACATCAGTACATCACACAACCTACAAACTTAAGGCATTTCTTTGGTCAAATTCCATCAAATTTTAAATAACATGCAAATACAATTAAAAGTAGCATGCAAAGGTAGATCTTTACTAGTGATAGATATAAAAAGAACACTTATTGATAGTGAATTTTTCAAAGAAAAAAATATTGAAAGGTCATCTCTTGCTTTCAACAAAAATCTGAGTATGAAAGCCATCCGGGAAGAAGATATCTCTCTTTCATATCACGACTTTTATTATGTGCATCTTCAGAATTAAAATTCTCACCACAAAGAGACCCATGGACACAGTTTGTCAAGTTCCAAATGATTGTCTATTAGTGAAGGAAGGGTAATTACTCTCCTGAGTCATGACCACAAATCCCATTGGATATATATCATACATCTAAAATAGTTGTAACATTAGAATAGAATGGTCATGCTTGCCAATGCACAAACTAAATTCCCCATTAGAAAATTCAGCTCTAAACCAGAACATATTTATCAACCAACATCATATTCATATCCTTCGCTCTAAATACAGCTCTATTATAGTAGTAAAAAACATAATTTATGAACATATACTCAACCTTTCTCCTAATTGAATTGAAAACATTTATTCCTTTGGTGTACTTCTCTCGCCAAACTGGCAATCCAGATCAAAAAAAGATCATATACGGAGTATTTCACAAACAAAACTGCAGAAAATGAAATCAACAAACACGGCGTCGATACGAATTACGTAATCGTCATAGTAACGGCGGTAACTGCATTCTTACTTTGATGGAAGACGGAACGGCGAGGCGAAAGGGTGGGGTTGGACCGATAACTCTCAAATTGATTTCTACCTGCGCCTCCGCCGCCGCATCGCTGCCGCGATCAGGCTCGATTTCCCGTCCCGTCATTTTCTCTCTCCTCTCTCGGTCTTGCGTGCAAATTCAGGCGGTGGGATCACCGGCCCAAATGCTGCTGAACGATCAGGCTCAATTTCACGTCCGGTTCAGAGTTAGGGATAATATAATAAAGTTATACTTAGGGCCTGTTTTTTAATACTTAAATCTTAATTTCCAGTTCTTTCCAGTTTCTTCCAGTTTTTTCCAGTTTCTTTTAGTTCTTCTAGTTTTTTCCGGTTTTTTCCAGTTTCTTCCAGTATTTATCAGTTTTTTCCAGTTTCTGCTAATTTCTTTCAACTATATTTATTTTCTTCAAATTCTTTCTACTTTCTGGCAAATCACTCTAAAAAAATATATTATTATTATTATTATTATTATTATTATTATTATTACAATTTTTTTAATTACAACTTTTATGTTCATAACTATAGTTTATAAATTATTTCATTATTTCATCTCACTATTTTTATGATTTACATTCATTAATTTTTTTTCTTCAACTTTTTAATATGAATAATACCATTTTTTTGTATATTAATCTACATGAAAAATTAGGAAATTATTTAAAAAATTATGGTTAAATAGTTATATAGAATATTTTTTAATCTAAATTTATATAAGGTAAACATCAATATTTTAATCTAAAATACAGTATAAAATATGGAATGTGGTGGGGAGTACTACATTATGAAAACCAAGAGAACTACATTTTGAAAAAGAAAAAAACCCAAAAAGTGTAAAATGGAAATTCAACTAACAAATAACATCACCAATAATTAAAATACAACTAACAAAAAAAATTATAGTTTCATTTATTTGATTTACTTTTTAGTGTCTCTAATATGTAAAATAGTGTGCATATAAATATAAATAATCCAATCATTCTCAACATAATCATATTGTAAAAACTATAGTTCGTATATAGTACTTTCATTTAAGTTTAACTACATTGTAGGATATTAAGTGCTAGTTCATCTCTAAACTGTTTCATTGCATCTTCAGTTTGTTCATCAAACAACATCATCTTTTTATGTATGAGAAATAATCTTCGTTACATTTTTTTTATTTTAAAGACAATCATTTAGATAACGTGATAACATCACCACTACCAACAACAACAACAACAATAATAGTAATAATAATAATAATAATAATAATAATAATAATAATAATAATAATAGTAATAATAATAATTTATATCAACAAGAATCAGAATAAGAATAATTTAAAACCACACATAAAAAATTTTTTAAAAACTTTTTTTAGATTTTACAATTTATTCTAGTTTTTTTTAGATTCTTTTAATTTTTTTCTAGTTTTTCCAGTTTCTTCCAAATTCTTCCAGTCCTTTTAGTTTCTTCCAGTTTTTCCAATTCCTTCCAGTTTCTTCTAGTTTCTTCCAATTTCCAGATCTTTTTTTCCAGTTCTAAAGAACAGACCCTTAGTGTCTGTTTGGAAATAACATTAGAAATTAGCAAGTTTTGAAAATATTATCTATAGGCAGTGTTTAGTGTTAGTGTTTTCAAAATAATCTGCATCATTAAAATTTCATCCAAAACGCTAACACTAATCTTTAACGTTATTATCAAACAAGCCCTTACACCCCAAAACAAACCCGGAATCAAATGATTCGAAATTGAAATAGTGAAGGTTTGATCTATAAGTGAAAATCTGAATTGATTTCAATTGCAGCAAAACCGGATAAAATATATTCATACCTGATTCAAATTTGAAGCCGATCACATTCGACCGATTAAATTTGAAACTGATAATATCCGAAATTGATAATAACTGATATGGATAAGGCTCAGAACTATCAGTTCTGAAACCAATAATACCTGAAACCGATTGTATCTGAAATTGATTATGTTCCAAATTGATTCTGCATGATTCTGCACAGTACACTTTTTCAATTAAGCTTTTGGCCTTGTTTGGTAACAATATTTTAAATTGCCCTTAACGTTTTGGATTAAATTTTAAAGGTGTAAGAGGGTGTTTGGTAATGATTAACTTGTAAATAAAGTGATTTTCACAAAAATGAAAACAAAAGTACCTCGTACCTACTTCTCCAAAACGTTGTTCTATGTGCAAAATAGTGGTGTTGAAAAACAAAAACTGACATGCCAAACAGAGTAAAATCACTTCCACTCAAAGCAGAAACTAAATTAGTAAAAAAAGCGTACTGCCAAACACCCTCTAAATTAATTTGAAAACACAGACATTGAAGCTACCATCGGATAATCATTTCAACATACCAACACTAACTTCTAACGGTGATCCCAAACAGAGCTTTATATTTTGTATATACTTTATTCAAACTCATGCGTTGCATGATAAAAATTTAAATTAAAAACTTAACTCCATTACATTTATTTTTCTTTTCCTCTTTTTTTTCTTTATTTGTTTCTTTTATTATTCAAGGATTTTTAAATTTTTTATTAAAATTGTTGCTATAATGTTCTCAAAATTTAATTGTTTGAAAAAAATAATTAACATACACTGCATATGTACATTTTAAATTAAAAATTTTAATTTTTTGTTTCCCGAAATAAAAAAGTAAAAACTTTTTTTGAAAACTTTCACAAATGAGGAATAAAATAAGAAATAAAATAAAACATAAAATGAAAATGGATTTCCTTTTAGACATCTGAATTCTATAGACTTTTTTAGACGTCCTAAACATTTTTTTTTGCATAAGATTCTTTTTGCATGTTCCAATTATTTTGATTTCATTTTTCTATATATTTATTTTTTTCTGGATTTTCTTATTGAAAAATTATTCTAAAAAACAGAAAGTGAAAATATTTAATTTGAGATAGATGAAGTTTATGTTATTATTTTTATTTTCATTTCAAAAATAGAATTATGAAGGTTTTAAAACATTATAAAAATTGAAAAGAAATTTAAAAAACTTGTCTCAGAAAAGGAAACAAAGAAATAATAAAAAAGAGTTCAAAAAAAGGAAAAATAAGAAATGAGCTTGGATGCCCTATGATTTGGAAGAACATAACTTGAGGGTAATTTTTGTTGTTTCGAAATGAGAACGTGGAAACTTAAAGTTAGAGTGTTATTTAAGTTTGAAATTTACATTCATAATCATTATTGAAATGCATGAAACTCAAATATTTTCAAACCAAATTTTACCAAACTTTGAAAAATAAAATCAAAATTTTTCTGAAAAATATATCCCTCCAACAACTAACCTCAAATTCATTTTCCATTCATTGAGAATGAGGGTTTCGTTTGAAAACAAAGGTCTGTAGATAATCCTTCAAAAAAAAAAAGGTCTACAGATTAGTATGAACGCTGGGTTCCAAGATTGAGTTCTCTCTGCGCATGGCCTGGAATTCATCTAAAACTCACATCATCAAACATCGAATTCGGCACCAACGAATACAAATTTCAACTAGAAAACATGGATTTCCGAAAAATCTTAGATCGAAACACCAAAGACTGGCCGGATTTCCCGATGAACCATTCTATGGAGTACTTAATATTTAAACCTATAAGAAGAGGTGAACTGACCAGATCTGAGCAATCATCGACATCGCCGGGAAGAAGGAGGAGGAAAACAGCAATCAGTAATCAACAATGTACGGCGGCGCGGCAGTGAAAACAGAACCCGGCTACGTAAGAATAAAGGTCCAGATGGAGTACCAGCGCGATCACTACTTCACGATCAGGAAGGACGAAGCGATCCAGACGGCCCTCGTCCGTTACTGCAAGCTCGAAGAATTGGATTTCTCGACGATTCGATTCTTCGTCGACGGCAAGCGGGTTCAGGCCGGCAATACGCCGGAGGGATTGGAAATGGAGGACGAAGATACCATCGACGCCTTTTTGCATATGGTTGGCGGGTCCGCTTCTCAAATCTCTTATCTCTCTCTTCCACATTGTATTGTTTATCATTATCATTAATTTGGAGGATGCCAATTTGTTCTCGGAGAAGGTTTAATAACAGAAATTTGTATTGGTGCATTGTTGAGAATAAGATTATAGTTCATCTTTGATTCATGATTTGATTTTTAATTCTAGTCATTTTTTATGTTTGGATATTTCTAAACATATGATTGAACTCGGATTTCGATCAAAATGAACTTTAAAATGATTTTTGTTTTTTTGGATGAAAAATCTAACTTATTCTAATTTCTCATAGAAGGTTTAATAAACAAATTTGTATTGTTTATGAAAAGCGTTTTTATGTAAAAGGAGAAGCATAGTTGAGAACAAAATATAAGAGCAAGCTAAATATAATTTGGATTGGTGCATTGTTGAGAATAAGATTATAGTTCATATTTGATTCATTATTTGCTTTTTTTAAAAAAGTCATTTTTTATATTTGGACATTCCAAAACATCAGAATTCAAAGAAAAATGAACTTTATTCGGAAAAAGATTTTTTTTTGTTTTTTTGGCTAGAAAATATTTTCAATCTTTTTCTAGTTTTTAAAATTGACACTCATCATGTTTTTATGTTACCACAACAAAAACTAATTTTTTTTTCTTAGATTAAAACTCTTGAAAAATGAAATTATTTTCCATCTTTCCAAATAAACTCTTACAAAAGGTTTTTTATATTTCTTGTCTCCCTAACCAGTTAATATGCATTGTCTAACCAAAGTTTGAACATCAAGAAAGTACATAGACCAAAAAGTGACCATAAAAAAAGGCATGAATTATTCATTTACGGAGTATAAGGGAGTGCATTGTACATACATTAGCATATGCCTAATGATCATCCGAAGCATTATTTCCATTTTTGCATGGCCTCTTTGCTACAACCATAGCAAGAGAATGCTGGGCCGGATCTAAATGGAAGACCAAATAAATGACAGCATAAGTCTGTTCAAATCGGGCCAATAATAATGGCCCGGTGCAAGTTTTATTTACATGAATATGCTCAAATTTGGCCCAAGCCCACATCTGTGGACATGGACATGGATCTTCCTATAGGGTGGTCGGCTTCATCCTTCCTGGCCCATTTTTTTTGTTCTCGGTTCGGGCCATGCTGCCCGAGGTCGTTGATCCATGCACGAGGAGGGGGTATCGCCACGTCAGCGCGAATCCGAGCCGTTGGTTAGTGGAGGGATGGTGGAGATGCCTTGTTTAGAGAGCTCACTTAGGACACTGTCTATTGAGGGAGGGTTGAGTCCCAAAGGAAGGGGAAGCCATGGGTTGTTTATTGCCTCTTTCACTATGCTGTCAATCACCTCTTCTGCCTGTAACAACTCTCATCAGTCATCACAACTCACAATTCACAATATTATTGTTTTTCTTTTAAACGCTACTTTTAACATCAAGAATGACACCAAAGTTGACACCACAAGACAATCATGCACAGACCGTTATTGATTGTGACACACGATTATCGAGTGAAAAAGAAAGAAACATAAATAGCACAAATTTACCGGATGAACATCAAACGCTTTCCCTAGCATGTTGTATCTATCTTGTGCCCCACCACTAGCGCAATGCACCAATGCGTTCTGCAAATTTTATTCGACGCGATATGATCAAATTCCATCCAAAATTAACCGGTATATTAGTTTTACTGTTTCAACCACAAGCTCTAGTTTTTACAGTTTTATTGATTCATGCATTCTTTGGATGGTTGAGAAATGTTGAGATTTGCATACATTTCATCTTTACTCCATCCTCTTAGAAATCCCCAACTAAACAAGAGCTAAGAGATTGTATTGTAAATGTAATCTAACCTGAGGATAGGTTGGATATGATGATCCCTGAGGTGGTGGCAGAATAGGGCAGCCCCATGCATGACCATAAACCTTAAAACAAACAATCAACGGTTAGTCCAAATGCTTTACGTGTACTTTAAAAGTTTGTTGAAATAAGTAATAGCACTAACCCCTGCAGCATTGGTTTTCCAGTTCCAATCCTCTGGGCGCTGCCACTCAGGATAGGGGAAAGGTGAGCCCCAGACATGGACACCGGGGTAGCTGCCCGGCGGTACCCAGGGGGGATAGAACTGCCCGGCGGGCAGGGGATTGACAGAATGATGGTGCTGAGGGAAAGCCATCACGGGCAGCTTGTGCGGATAACAAGTCCTTTGTGCTGGGTCTCTTGATATAAGCCATCTCCTCTCATCTTGTTTCGGTAATATTTGCCTGCGATGCATTCTGTACTTCTGTTTATAAAGGAAACAAAAAACACAGTTAACATAATCTTTAGAACAGCATTGCTTGTCTCCAATTTTATTGTATTTGGGGGATTCTTTTGACACCAAGGGCTGGTGTCATCATATGACACCGGTCCATTTGGGAGCTGCTTTGTTTGAACGATGCACTTCAGGGTCCCCAAATGAGCTAGGTGTCATATTATGACTCTCATTCTTGGTGTCAAAAGAACCTGGGTGATTTTACCTTCATCTTTTGACGAAGAAATTTGCTAATGAGTAATGAGAGTCATAAGGGTAAGGCATAGGTATATGTATTTACTGAGTTTTGTTGTATGCGTGTGTGTGTGTGTGTGTATACCTGTAGATGGCTGGCTACATTATGTCTTGTCAAGCCTTCGACTTTCATCAGTTCAAGAATTCGCGAAGGAATGGCTTGATCAAGACCAAGTTGCTCGACCGCTTGAACAAATTTCTTGTGTAGTTCGGGTGTCCAATCGACCTGGGCAACCAAACACCAAAAAAAAACCCATAAAATCCCACAAAAGGTAAGGTGTGGGTGTGGGTGTGCAGAATAAGTAATCAATGGTCAAACCTTTAACTTCCTTTTATAAGCCTTTGTTGTCTCACTTGAAGCATTGACACCCAGTGTTTTTTTACGGCTGCCACGGGCATCCTTACTCCTCTCACAACGGCTAGAATTACCGTTTTGCCCCGTGAGTTCGGGGCTCGATTCACGTTCTTGCTTCACCACATCATCATCATCCACTCCCGGGGGAGCAGTTTCGAAAACGGAATCACTAAAAGTAGTTTCGACGAATTTATATTCCCCTTCTTGCTCCATGCTGCTCTCCTGTGTTTGGTCATCGGTTGATCTTATTCCTTGTTTGAGCTGTGGAGTTGAAGGGGCTGGGCACTTGTTTTCCTGTGCTGAATTGTTTGATTGTTCGCTCTCATTTGGGCATTGTATCTGCAGCATTGTAACTAAAGATGCTTTGACTGGTTTTAGGGATTCGGACACGTCCTTCCCGCCGGCATTGAATGCCTGTTTAGACAATATAAGTATTCAAATGTTAAGAATATGATTATGAAAACATTACAAAAGTAATTATGTTCATATATCAAATAAATAAATACAATATGAGCTTATACTTTGTACTAGACGACTAGTCACTCACACCATTCACTTTTAACCGACTCATTGTGACTTTCGTGATAGATCGAAGTTGAACGAATGTGGACATACGTCATGTCTATATTCATTTATGATTCAATGTATCAAAAAAGGTCACTAACGGTCACTTAAAAGCGAAGTAATATTGGTATCATCAAGAAGCTTAGGGCACAATCTTTAGCACATTGTTTCAAGAGAAAGCCCATTACAAATCAACAAACCTTGTGAAGGGCATGTTGCCAAATGTTTCTTAGCTTGTCATCTGATAACGGTTTCTGAAGAAACTCAACGGCGCCGAGCTGCAGTTGTCAAATACGTGCGTTTTTTTTAGCAGAAAAAGTAGTGATTTTTAATGTTCTTGTAATATAAATGTGCAAAATAAAGTGTTGAATTTGAGCAAAAATTTCTCACCGCTATGCACTTCATCATGGTGTTAAGGCAGTGCACATTTGACATCACTGTAATATGAGATAGAAACATGGCATTAGAGACAAAGTTTCTTAGGGGTACGTTTGGATTCAGAAAATACTATAAATAAAAAGAATACAAGAAAGATGGGAAGGAAAGAAATGAATGGATGACTCAAAATGCGATTCTCTGATATTTTTGTTCAAAATCACTTATTTACAGAGTAATTATTTACGTAATATAAAGACCAGAAATCTAAACGTAAGATTTCTTTATAAAAACCAACCATATTTCATTTTCCTTTGCATTTTCCATTGTAAAACCAAACATCAAAAAATAAATTTCCTTGGCACTTCTCTTAAATAATCCCTCCGTCCTACAAAAAACGTCTTAGTTTGATTTTCACAAAATTTAAGGAAAGTGTTAATAGGTGAAAACTTTATAGCTATAATTTGTTCAGAGGAAAGAGGAGCTATGAGCCATTCATCACTTTCTCTAAAATGATGACACAAGAAGTTATCATAATATGTACAACTTACATATTGTGGGCAAATCTTTAGCAGTTTCAAGAAACTTGTATACCTCATTGCTTTTGCTAGTATTTACCTGCAGAAAAAAATTAATCTAAGTAAAAATATGACAGTAAAAGCACCTTTTCATACTTTACCCCACATACCCATTCACCAAACCCATTCTTGCTCAATCTCTTCATACCCAAATCAAAATTATTTTCACAATTCACCTTTGCCTCAAGAAAGGCACATAATTTGGGTCACAAGCATAATAATTCTTGTTCCACTACTCATCACAACCTTTTTGTTTTTCAAAGTCAAAATCCAAATGATGAAGGTTTTCATGTAACAATTACATAGACTGCATTTGAGTTCTTGGGTATCTTTATAACAATTAAAATAATCTAATAATAATAACAATTAAAATAATGATAACAATAAGTACCTCTACAATAGCAACATGAAATTGCATTGATTTACTTGTGATTGCAAGCAAAGCTTCATTCTCATTTTGGAACCATGAAACTGCAAGAGAAAGGTGTTATGAAACTCATGTTAACAATTTAACACACATTATGTTTTTTTACGACGATGTCATCTGTGGTGTGACTGTAACTTTGGCGTGGGGCCCATTACAGAACCAACTTGCAGAGTGACAGGGCACAAAGGACAAACAACAACAAAGAAAGATGTCATTCAAGTAAATGCATCCACAGATCTCAAAATCAAACTTCATTGTACTTCTGACTAAGCTTATACAGTACAATCAATGGAAGGTTA